AATCAAGTCGAGGAGCTCCCTCACTTGCTCCATGTTAGCGCTATTTGGTCTCTCCGACCAGCTACTCTAGCTCTCCGGGATGTGGTGGATGTCGCATCGGATTACCGGGTGGCTCTGCTTAATGTAGAACCACCTGGCGTTCCATCCTTTTAGAGAAGTGTTTAGCGGTACATTAATGTACTCGCTGGCCATCCCATCCCTGAGCTGCAGATATACACCGCCGACCACCTTGGAACCACTGCCGCCCTTCTTCTTCAACTAGAATAGGTGTCTGAAGAGGTTGAAGTGTGGAAGAATCCCCAGATACGCCTCATAGAAATGGATAAAGACCGAGACGTGCAGTATGGTGTTTGGGTGTAGATTGCATAGGCTAATCACCCAAAACTCTAGCAGATCCCTCAGGAAAGGGTGAACAGGTGTAACGTCCAGTCCCGACATACATGGCCCCGGCCCACTCTTCCTAGGAGTGATCCGACCCGCGTAGCAACCCGCTTGAACTTTCGTCCTCGCTTCGTTCAAAACGGTTAATCGAAGGTTACAACGCGTCCTTGGCCCTGGTATTTAAGTCGATCCGGCGATCTCAGAGTTTCCAGTATGGTACTAAACTGGTTGCGCAGTATTTTTCGCGGTGCTACAGTAGCATGGGTGAACAGTACCCCCGAATCTGGCTGTCATTTTCGGTGAACAGTGCTCGTCCTACAGTACCCGGATTTCGGATGCTGCAGTAACCTGCCCATTCTGCTACAGTACCACCGTCCCACATCTGGATTGAATTGGGCCCACTTTGGCCCATTAGGATGTTACAATCGTCCCCCCTAAGGATTCGACGTCCCCGTCGAATGCCAGATCAGCTTACCCTTTCGGGACATTTATTCCAGGATCCGCCTCTCTTCAACATGTTTGTGTGGCCCCGTGCCGGCGCATGTGTATGCCATGCCGTGTTCACGACGGGCCCACGCACACACACACAACATGCCCGCGCAGTTGTCCCCACGTGCCCGTGAAACCTCGAGAGTCGGCTCTGATACCAAATGTAACGTCCAGTCCCGACATACATGGCCCCGACCCACTCTTCCTAGGAGTGATCCGACCCACGTAGCAACTCGCTTGAACTTTTGTCCTCGCTTCATTCAAAACGGTTAACCAAAGGTTACTACGCGTCCCTGGCCCTGGTATTTAAGTCGATCCGGCGATCTCAGAGTTTCCAGTATGGTACTAAACTGGTTGCGCATTATTTTTCACGGTGCTATAGTAGCACAGGTGAACAGTATCCCGAATCTGGCTGGCCATTTTTGGATGCTACAGTAACCGTCCCATTCTGCTACAGTACCACCGGCCCACAATTGGATTGGATTGGGCCCACTTTGGCCCATTAGGATGTTACAACAGGAAACCCCAAACCTCGCCAGAAATAATCCTCAAACACTACCGCTTCATCAGTGTGAGGTGTCGGGAAGGGCTCACCGCTGGCTGGCCGCCATCCGATGGTGACTCGGTCTAGAAGAATGCCCGCCGCTACCATTCCATTGAGCTCCGCCTCCCCCATCTTCAACAGCACCCATATATTCCTCATCGCGGCTGGCTCCGGCGGCCACCTTCCTTGGCTTCGCAGCTCCCTTTTTCGGTGCCATTCTCCTAGATCTGGTTTGAGATTGGAGGCGGGTGCGTGCGTCGATGCGGATCGGGAAGTGCAAGAGCTGGGAAGGAAGATGAAAGGGCGAAATGCCAAAGGTGGGGGCGTGGGGTGCGGTGGCGCAGTTAAAAACAATCCGTCAACTGTTTCATAATCGAGGGTTTTTGGGAAACCGTTCCCGCGATTTGTGCCTCTTAGAATTCTCCGACACGTCTTATGGGCCGTTACATGGGCTTTCACGCAACCGCAGTTCACGTCGCTCATTTATCGCCGCCAACAGTTGTTACTCGTCGAATAATCGCCGACTTCTCCGCCATTTATTGAGGCTAAGTAACCGTTATTGTACAACCATTCCTCCGATTTTTTCTCCACGGTTGGATTCCTTTGATATCTCCGCTTGTGGCTTGGGGACTGGCTGCCTGCTCGGCTGGTTTTTCACTATTTCTTTGTTTCTGACCCTGGCACCACGTGACTCCGTCACCTACTGTCAGGCTCGGAGACTAAGTGGGCACACTTCACCTTACGGTGAATGTGATTTTTGGGTCTACGCCCGGGGACTGGCTGCCAGTTTGGCTGGTATTCTATTCTTCTACTTTGGATCCTGGCACCAAATGACTACGTCATCTACTATCAGGCTCGGGGACTAAGTGGGCACACTTTACCTTGCGGTGAATGTGCTTGCTTTTTTCTGAAAGACCCCATGCCTCTTGAAGCTAAACAAGACTAACTCCTTCTCTCATGGTTGGACTCTAAGTGGGCATACTTGGTCCACTGTGAAGAAATTTTTGATTCTGGACTTGAGCTCCTTACACCCTTATGGCAAGCCGTGCTTGGGTTATCCTGCTCGGCTACGGTTCGTGCTGCTCGGTAACAGTACACGATGCTAGGTATTTGCTCACAACTACTCGGCAACTAATCACGGTGGTCGAGCCATGAGTTCGACTAGTCGGGTTTGTTCGCACCTGCTCGGATAAGCTCAAGACGGTGTTGCACAACGGGTACAAGGCGCTCGGGGACTAGCTGTGGGGGGTATGATCCCGGATACCCACGGCAGACCACATGGGCTGCGCCCTCAGGGGTGGCCCAGCCCACAAGACGAAGCCTTATGGGGCACGACTCTGGTCGGTGCCTTCCGCAAGACATCTGGAAGATATCCTGAAGATACTACAAGATCTGTTAGGATATGTATGATCCCAAGATTCCTGTAATTAGTTATTACTTTCCGGTTATCTCTTAGATCTAACCGACTTGTAACCCTGCTCCTCGGACTATATAAGGCGGGCAGGGACCCCCCTCTAAACACACGCAATATCATACGATAGCTAATACAAACCAACAGACCACAGGAGTAGGGTATTACGTCATACTGACGGCCTGAACCTGTCTAACTCGTGTGTCTCTGTTGCCTTCTTGTTCTTGATCTCACGCTCCTCTGCCGATCAATCTACCTTCGTGGGATACCCCTCGGAGGACTGCCGATGATATTCTGTCGACAACAACATAGACAGGGCCCATAAGCAGTGTCTCTAGAGGGGAAATGATGACACCACGCGAGGAGGCAACCTTGTGGCGTGGCCGGCTGTTATGAGGCCTAAGGACAAGGGTGGTTTGAATGTGATCAACCTGCGTTTGAAAAATGATGCTCTCCTCTTGAAACAACTCCACAAGTTTTATAACAAAGTGGATGTTCCATGGGTGAAGCTTGTTTGGAATAAGTATTACGTTGGCAAAGTGCCCCATGAATGCAGAGAAATGGGCTCTTTCTGGTGGTGTGACGTCATGCATCTCAACACCATCTACAGAGGTGTTGCACGCTGCACGTTGGGAGACGGCTCAACAGTTTCTTTCTAGGATGATCTATGGTCAGACTCGATCATGTCTGCTCAATATCCAAGACTCCACTCGTATGCCAGGAACAAGTCTATCTCGGTACAGGAATTAATGATGCATGAAGACCTTGATGACATTTTTGTGCTTCCACTATCAACCTAGGCTTATGAGGAGATGATGGATCTATAGAATCACCTTGTCACCTTGGAATATGATGATAGCACCGCAGATTTCTGGACAATGCTATGGGGACCCCAATATTCATCACGGCGGTTCTACAATCATGTCTTCAGTGGCATGGCTTCGACTCCTTACTTCAAGGTACTCTGGAAATCTCAGTGCACACCTCGTGTGAAGTTTTTTGCGTGGCTAGTGTTGATGGACCGACTAAATACGAAGACGATGTTAAGAAGAAGGAACCTGAACATACAAGATGATGTACTCTGTGTTATGTGCAACCAAGGTGTTGATGAAGATATTGATCATCTTTTCTTTGCGTGCTCGTTTGTGGTTCAATGTTAGACCTCAATTAACTTCTCCTAGGACGTCTCCCTGCCACTAACTGAAAGATTGATGAGGGCCAATGAGGTGCATGCTTTGGACTTCTTCGTCGAAGCATCCCTAATTGCAGCATGGGAGCTCTGGAAACTTAGAAACGACAAGATTTTTCAACGTCGAGACCCAACTCCTTCTCTATGGCTTGTAAATTTCAAGCATCAATGTAATTTGCAATCCGTTAGAATCAGGGAGGACCTTAGGTCTTCCTTTTGCTTTTGGCTAGATGCTTTCAGTTAAAACAGGTTTGTAATCTTGACTGTTGCTTAAATTATTTATAAAATCTACTGTGGGGATCTCCCCCCACAGTCCTTTGTTTAAAAAAACACTTTCCTTGTCCTAGAGGACACAAAAGCTTGTAAGAACTAAGACACTGAGAAAATAGATTTTAATAGTCTTTCAAATACAGACCTGGATGTCCAAAGTTGAAAATTTGACTAAACCAAAAGCATCAATCACATCGCAGAGCTCCTTAGTCAGATTCCTGTTAGCAGGTTCACTCGAAAAGGTTATAAATGGGACAATGCAAAGGTTCCACATTGAAAACAGGTAATACAAATCTTAGCATATGACCAATGACATTGGTATATATCACTGTCAACTGTTTAGACTTTAGAGGAATACAGGTTACTGAATCTGAAGGTCATATTGGTGGACAAGAACAGTAGTCATTGATTTGCAATGAATGAAGAATTATCCATTAGCAACTTAGATATGTTGAAACAGTACACATATCCTGAACCCAGTTCTAGATTTCCACCTTTGCTCAAATAAAACTTAATAAATCTCATGGAACAGGGTGAATGCAAGAATTTTATCTAGGTACATTAGATGGCATCTAAAACTGAACTCACAAGGGAGTATTTGGTCAAGTGAATTGGCGACATATTAACACTTGACTTAAAATTTATGAAGCTTAAATTCTCAGCAAATTGAAGTACACTTACTCCTAGTTGTTGCAGTAACATTTGTGTTCAGAAATTCACCTGTACTTGGCTGAGCGAGGATCCTGCGAAAGATGATATTGCAAATAAGAAAGATCTTGGACATCAGTGTAGAAGTCAAGGTTGAATGCTGCCAATGAATAAGATGAATAATAAATACTACAAAGACATAGGAGTATTAATCAATAAAAGATGGTATGGACATCAAATTCCACGAGCAATAATAAATGTTCAAATGACAGGAAGATCAAAGGCACAATACCTAAATTCCCATAGTTCTCAATTTGGTCAATCTTTGACAAGACATTGATATGTGGCAATTCCATGTGTAGCATTGTTGACAGTGAAAGAAGCAAAGCACTCACATACTTTCCAGGATCACAGCATAAATGGACATCGGTAAGGTGCATAGCAGTCAGCTGCAGAATACAGAAAAAAATAAACAATCTAATTCATTAGCATTAAGGCAATCTAAATAGGACCAAGAACACATGCATACCCTCAAGTCCATCTTTTTGATAAGTTTATTAATAACACTTCTTGCATTTGAGTGAAGGAAGAAAAGTTCCACTTGCCCCGGAAAATCAAATAACAGATAGTGATCTGCAGAAATGTTAAGTTTGCAAGTCAATAATTTGAGCAGTATGAGTGTTTACAATGTTTAGTGCTCACCTACTATAAGTCTATGACTCTGAACACTCAGAGATAGCACAATAAACAGCAGAAATACTTTTAAACTGAGGTGCAATCCTCAGGATAACAGAATACGGGTTATAAAATTCTAACTCTAATTCTGATCCTAGTTGGATCATTAGTCTATTAGCACATGGAAAGCCCTGTGCAATGTAAAATAACAAATTTATTGATATTAGCAATTTATAAGTTTTTCCATCAGATGCTGCTCTTTTGGGATATGACCATTGCACAGATATTGCCACTGAACATATGTGCAGACTTCAGAGAGGTATTCACTACTCACCTTCAATAAGAGGCTTTAGTTTTTCTTCAAGCCAGTCAATATTCTTCTCCAAGTAATCCATGCAATACACAAGCCCTGACATAGATTTTAACACCATAGAGAAAGAAGCCACATTAAACAAAAGCAGGTAGGTTACTGAAGAGCAATAGAGGACCAGGAGCAACCTCCATTAGGGCCGAGTGAATGCTCAGCCATGACATCACTGAGTTTTATGAGGTCCTCAATGTTTATGGCACACTCATATCTATTTATCACGGTCAAGGAAAATTTCCAATTGTGACTAGAGAACTGTTATGTGCTTGCTAGGGTTGAGGGGGGCGAGTTGAGGGAGCTGCGGCGACTGGTGTGCTACAGTACCCTTGGTACTGTTCACGTTTAGGATTGGGGCAATTCATAAATCTTCTCTTGTTATATAGAGAGGTTTACTTGACTCACAAGTAAGGCTTACTTACTCTTAACTGAACGACTCTTATCTCTAATTAACCCAAATACTAACGGGCTATACCACCAGCCCAGACAGCCTATTAAGTACTAACAAGAACATCAAGGAGAGAGAGAGTATGTTATAAGTAAGACATATAAGTACAGAGGATGGTGGTGTTCAAAGAGTCAAGGATACGGCAACGCGTCATTTGCAGGATCCAAATTGACAACCATAACTTTCCTGCAACAACAACAAAAAAAAAACATATAAAGGAAGCAATCCGTGTGAGCAAATTATCAACTTCAACTTTAGTCCAACCAAAACAAAGCCAAGGGTGAAGTTTAAACTCTCAGCACAAATTCTGGCACCAGCAATATGGTAGCAGTTAACATTCACAATCAAACCATAGCAGAGGAGGGCACTATTATTGACTTCCGTAGTTACTAATCGTATCACGCAGCGGGTCTCCAGGCAAGTAATATATGCAGTAACAAGCAAGCCAAGGCCAAGCGCATTCCACTTCCACTTAGCTAGAGTAGCTTGTGAGGGACAACCGAAGCATAGGGGGCGTATGTACCCGCCAAGGAGGGAGAGGAACTGCGACATGCCGTTGCAGTAGGTGGTCTTGCCGGAGCCCGGCGGGCCGATCACCACCTGACCGAACACACCCCTCTGCTCCTACTACGAGTTTCACGCTCGTCACCGATCAGCCTGTTCGGAATGCCGTATCGTATCGTGGATTATTTACTGCTGGTTGATTTGGTGTGAGAGAAAAACACTATTTCTGACTAGAAATTTACGATCGTTTACGAGCCAGCGAACAGGCTGCTCACGGCTAAATGGCCGCGGCGGCGAGGTGAGGCGAGCTCAGGGCACTGTTTGTTTGAGCTTATTTGAAACTCACTTGATAAGCAAACTTATATAAAAAGCAGGCTTTTTCTAAGAATCTATCTCAGCGGAGGGTAGGGGTGCTGCCGGCGACTCGCGCAGGGCAGGTGCGGCGCCTACCGCCGAGGAGAGGCACGCGCCGGCGGCGGCTCGCGCAGGGAGGGACGCGCGCAGAGATGGATTGCAGGGCAGGGCAGGACTTGAGTCGGATTGCAGGCTTTTTCCTTCACACAAACCCTGTGTTTATCTATTTCCATTCCCGGCACCATAAATCATGAATGCAGCCGTCGTCGTTCTTTGTTTCCTCGGGGCTCATTCCTTGCATGGAAGCTGTCCACCATTCCCCAATCAAATGGTCATTATTTTGCGGAATTCAGGTTGTGTTGCCAGCCCAAAAAGGCTCATCCCTAGCCAGAATTCTTTTTACTACAAAAATAGACATTGAACACGGACAGAAGTGAACCGCAGTCTCCGCCGACTTGTGTGTTTCCTCCAGCTGTGCGCTCTCCAGATTGAGGATGCGTTGAAGGAGCAGTTTGATCCTTTGAATTGTGCCTATGATGCGGATTTAGCGGTGAACTCACCTCAGTCCCCTTCCATGTAATCCAGCCGTCCTGATCAGTTAACTGCACCTCCTGGATCAGATCCCAGAGTCTGAACAAACTCTACCATCTACTAGACTAGCCCCATTGGTTCTGTTTGCTCGAACTTATCAGCCGGCTTATCACCTAGAATCACAACAAAATAGCTTTAGCCGACTTTAATACCAACCGAACATGCCTATACTATCTCCGTCCCCAAAAGAATACAATTCTAGCACAGTATTATATTTTAGTACATTAAATTTAATCAATTATAGATAAAAATGTATCAATGTTTATAATATCAAATAAATATCATCAGATTAGTTACGAAATGTATTTTTATAATAAACTAATTTTAAAACATAACCGTAAATATTATTCACCAAAAACTTAGTCAAACGTAAAGTATTTTTTGCATTCTTTTCATCACGGAGGCAGTAATAATCGGTGACATCCCCCCTAGCGGTCTGATTTTTACGCCACGCGAGTGGGTGTGTCAAATCCATCAGAGTCACGGTCTCACGGAGAGTGCCAAAAGCTTGGTCTATCCCCGCTATCGGCTGTGACGGCTTGCATGGAAGAGACCACACTATTCGTGCTGTCCCAAGGTATCATCAGGGTTCCCACCCAAGCAAGGTCTTATTTGTCAATCCACTCCCACCAGGGCCATATCATTCGAAGATCTCAGATAAAACGTTCCAAGTCAAGGATGCCACGGCCGCAAAGCAGTTTCGGTCTCAACGCTTTTGTCCATTTATAACTAGGCAATGGCCTCAATTTGCATTTTCAGATCCTTACTACAGGAACGATTTTCTGATTTTGTCTAACTTCTTGATGGTCCATTTCTTCAGAGTGAAAACAGTGAGAAGATGCACAGGGATGGTGACAAGACTAAGTTTACCAATGTCAATCTCCTAACTTTATGAGTCGGCAGGTCAGGCATCTTTGCCTCCCTCGTAGATTCTTCTCCCTCTGTTTTCACTCAGAATAGCTTTTCTTGTTATAAACTATCATCGGAGCCTGTTAGACGGTAGGCCTGCAACTAAATTATACGTGAATACGCAGGACAGACTTGATAACCAAGAGAAAAGGAATGAACTGACATATGAATTACCATATACTGTCTCTGAATCACATGAAAATTTGGCCAGTAAAACACCGGAAATTTAGAAGGAACTGGAAATAATCTAGTTTAAACCAATGCTCTGTCAGCGTGCCTGTTGCTGCCCTGACCACGCCAGGAAAATATAATGATTTTCAAGATTATTGGTGATTGACATATTGTGATCTCTACAGACAAAAGTGGCACATCGATTAGCCATTCCAATCAATGAACATTAACCAGCTCAATGATTCGCAGGGCCCCTCTTATGTTAACTTTGGTAACCTAACTTGAACCACCCATAAGAACGATTCCATCAAAGACAGCTTTAGAATCCAAACATCACATATGACTAGTCTTCGAGTAGCCTCCACAGCTCAAATTCAGCCATTCGTAAACGGAATCGGATGTAAAATTCAGTTTGTTCTCTTTTCTCGTCAGTCAACTCTACAGTTCAAACAACTATTATGCAAGGCAAAGTGCTGCACAATTTCAAACAACTATTGTCGCATTGCCCCGGATACTTAGTTTCAACACGCTTTATCAGCCTGGAGAAGAGTAATCATATCAAATTTTAATATCAGCAAATACAATATACGAGATTAAAATTCTCTGAATGAATATGGCTGCGACAAAGCTGTTTTCAAGGGGCTTATAACATATGGACATAGCCCCAGAAGGAACATGTATGGGAAGCACTCGCTCCCCTTCATACACTTGTAGCTACAGACAGATCAATACTTACAACACCCATTTGTGCGACCGAAGATTGTCATAAGAAAGAACTCAAAAGGAAAAACAGAAACAAACCATGCACAGGAAGCATCCTTTGTATTCGATGTCCCCGGTTCTGTCTCATTGTGACCCACTTGTATCTCCTCTATTTTTCACACGTCATAACTAAATTAGTTTAGGTCTTGCCTTGTGTGATTTGCTTCCAATAGAGGACACACTACCATTCTGAATTTACCAAATAGTTTGCTGCCAAAATCAACATCCCCAACATCTCACACAATTCAAAATGAAGACAGAACCACTGTTTCTTGGGCCTTGGTTCGCTTAGGCCTCCACATGGTCCGGGCCTTCACCATGGTCGGACCTGATTCAAGGCTCAGTACATGCTCACAGTGCAAGGTTGTTTCTCCAGACTCGCTGTTGCAATCCGTGTGCACAGAGGTGTGTGACTGCAGCACACTATCCCGGCCACACTCCCTTTTGTAATCCAGCACAATACTCGCCAGTTCATGATTCTCAAGAATAGAGATCGGTGCACTCTAAAGCAAAGATGAAAGTAAGGTTAATTGCAGATGTGGGCAAAAGTCTTTGTATACAAGGCACTAAATAATATGCTAATCTGTCCTTTTTTTTTATTCTTTCCGATCCAATTTGGGTTTAGAATCACTTGACCAAATAGCAGAGCCCCACCCCACCCCACCCCCCCACTAATTAGTAGTGGGCAGAAGAGCTGCCAATTAATGAAGCAGGAAGGAAAACCAAATGATAACTGTCTCCGAACCCGTAGCCAACAATAAGTGCATGACGGACCAGCCAACAACACATGGCATATCATCAATCAAGCAAGTATAAGAATGATCTTTCATCTTATTTCTGTGTAATTTAGAGCAAAGAAAGACTAAATTGATTTGTAAACAGGCTGCTCTTGCACGGAAGCAACATAAGTCAGTGACATTGTTAGGTGACTAGGTGAACAACCAACTATACTAAAATCTCAGGAGATGCATTCCTTGTCCTAACTGGTGCATTTGTTGTCATGAATAAGTTATGATACCTCCTAAATAATATATATATCATGGGATGAGCCATTGTATTTGCTAATTTGAGGAATAGATAAGAGGGCACCTAATCATTACCAATGACAGAATTTTATGAATCTAAGCCCACTCCCCACCCCCCCCGCCCAACCAGGCACCCACATTCCAATGGCCATTATCTTCTGCAGGCAGTTGGGTACTGAGCAACAGATATACAGGATAGAACAGAAGTAATTGGTTTCTGTTTGCACATGATTGTCAGCTCCACAAAAGAAACCAGGATGGAATACCCAACATAACACATGGCGACCTCAAAGAGGGATAAAAGACAATTTAAACAAATGATTCTTGTTAGGGTACTTGAGTGTGGAATAAAATAGTTCAAATAAAGCACAAATACTAAAATAGATACAGAAGTGTAGAATAAAGATGCATATCATCGGAAAGAAAATTACCTCAAGAATCCACGCAATGTATTTAACATTATTGACATGCTGATTTATATCAAGATCAGCCCACCGAGGCTGCATAAAATAGACCGCAAAATATATAAAACAGGAAAGAATAATTATATGAACAGACTAGCAATCTAATCTAAATATTAATTCAGTTACTTACAGTCAGCCCTGTCCTCACATATTTAGCTGCAGAAGTGCTTTGACCATCTGGCAGTTTTGGAAGCTTGCGGTTGTCTTCATCAACAATAGCAGAACGCTCAAAAAAGTATGGCTCTATTTCAGTCCGCACTTCATCTGGAATTCTTGCAAGCTTCCTAGTAAGTTTGTTCATCATAACCCATTTACTGCACAAAGACATAAATTAGAAAAAAAAAATTGCAACAGGATGCCGTGTAACCAAGTTGCACGTACTTTGAGCAGAAAAAAATATAAATGCAGCATTAATCGTAACATGGCAGTTGGTAGAAATAAACTGTTAATAAAATTGATTAATGGTACAAATATAACAGTGTGGCAGAGATTTGAACCTTGTTGCCTTCAGTATCGTGTGGCCTGTTATAGAATCACGTATATGCCAATCCCTACGCATTCCATTTTTACCATTAGCACTAACCCATGTATCTACTTCAACAGTATTACCCCTGCAGCAGAATAGAGCGACTTAGAACACATAATAGTAAAACCCAGATGATGAGGGATCATCTTCAATTCACAGAAGGTAAACTTTCTAGTATCTGTTAGTTACCATAGGAAAACATATCAAGACCTCAGACCGTTCGGCTTACCCAAAAACCAGCTTGTTCGGCTTGTTTTTTTAGCCGGAACAGTGTTTTTCTCTCACAACAATTTAGCCAGAACAGTGTTTTTAAGCCAGTTTCAGCCAAGTTTCAGCAAGCCGAACGGGTCTAAGGAAACAAGCCGTGATCATTAATAATTCTATGTCTCCGCAGATAGCCACATGGGTGCAACTTATTTCAAGCTCAAATCACGATAAGAAAACTGAAACAAGATCATGCGATGCTGCAAACCATACCAGCATGGATAACGCTCGACGATGGCCTGCATTTGGCTAACCACCCAGAACAAGTTTCTTTTACTCATCTCTGGTGTGGAGCCAAATCCATCACCTAGCAGCCCAGCGGTCTTCACATGATTAAGTGCCGTTTCCTGGATCAAATCCAAACTTTTTTCATCTTCCAATCCACAGCCACAACAATCTCACACCTCAAAAATAACAAATCCTTACCTGCAAATGGTTCATCAACGTCTCTATAGATGCCATCCTATCCGCCCCTATCTCATAGGACCTAATGGAGAAGTTCTGCCTGAACATGAGCCCATCATGTATGATCCGGCCAAACCCAAAGGTGTCAGTGAGCATGTCAGGCCGCCTGGGCTTCCAGTCAAGCATCGTCCACTGCTTCTCGGCGGCCAAGAAGATGGTCGTGATGGCCGCAAGGAGCATGCTCCAGTCGGGAAGCTGGTTGTAGAAAGTCCTCGGCACCGAGGAAGAAGGTACGGTCTCGTGCTCCCCATCCGCCACCGCAGACTTGCCCCCACTGTTCACCTTGGGGACGGCAGCGTGGGCGCGCGTCTTGCCCGCCCTCACGGCATTCGAGGAGGCTCCCGGCTTCGCCGCCACGCCGCGGACGTCCAGGATCTCTGGGCGCTCCCCAAGGCCGTTCTTAGGAGCGGCCGGCGCCGGCGACCCTGGAAGGAAGGACGAGGCCGCGATGGAGGCGGCCATAGGAAAGTACTCCGCCCCAAATCAAATCGAATGGCTGGCACCTGTCTGAATCCGGGATCCCAACCTGATTCAGCACGAGAACAGCATTAGCATCAACGCAAACCACAAAATCAAACAGAAAAAAAAAAACTGCTCGTTTACCCAATTTAAGCAACCCAAAAAAAGCAAGATTTGGTGCACAGTACAGGCGCATCACGGGTACAAAGAACAAATGGCCAGAGCTTCCGAGGAAGTACGGGGACAAAACGACGGTCAAACCAACCCGCTCAAATACAGCAAACATGATGATGAGACGAAATAAACGCATACAGTACGTACAGGGAAAAAAAAAAGAAAAACTCACCCAAGACTACAAGGACGAGAGAGAGGCCAAGAAAAGAAGCGGCAGGAACCCCAAATCTATCGGCGGAAACGAGAAGAAAGAGGGGCGCAAGGTGTCCTGAACTCGAGATCCAACCGGGGCAAGGATCCTGAATTCCCACGATTCACCCCCCAGCTGTCACGGCCCGTACGTTAGCCGGCCGAACAGCGAAGCGCCCAGAAATAGTACAGCTTATCCGGTGGAAATTGGAATAGCCACATGGCGGCCGCGCCCAGGCAATCCGACCAGGAATAGACTTCAACCCCACTACGAACCTATGATGAAGGGACACGGCACGGAATGCGGGCGGGCCGGGAGGGGACGTGCAAGGGAACGAACCTTCCGCAGCAGTGGGAGGGCGGCGGCGGCGAGGGCAAAGGAGGGGGCTTGGCTGTTGGTGCCTGCTTCTTCCGTCGTGTGCGCTTCACCACGCGGCCATTGGCGACGCGCCGATGAGGGGGGAGGAGGGAGAGGCTTCTGTAGTTCTGGCGGATGTGGTGGTGGTGTTTGGCGGCTTCGGTGTCGCTGCGGTGGGGGCAGCGGGGCCGGTCGACCTCTCTCTCTCCGCTGGCACCGGGCGTTGGCCACCGCGACCTTTTAAAACATGGAGTCCAGAGAGGCAGCGAATGACGATTCTGCCCACGGTGCGTGGCACGGAAGGGAAACGTGGGGTATAGAGAGACTGTGAGAGAGCCAGGCCTGGGCTGGCCATGCGCCCATGCATGCGATGCTTCCCGTTGCTGAGCTGAGCAGATCTGGGAGACAAAAATAACATAAAAGAACATTTTTTATCTGATGCTAGTAAAGCTAGTGCTTTCTTTCTTTGCTGTAGAAATAAAAGACACTGAGCAGTTTAATCTTTCCTATTTGACACTGAGCAGGAAGATTGAATTTTCCATTTTCCAGGATCTAAAAGGAAAGCTCAACCTTTTTTCCAGTGTTCAATAAGAAATTTTCTCAACTAATATTGTCAGTGTATTATTTTAATTTGTCTATCTATATATATTACTCATCAGATATAAATAAAAAGACACCACCCATTAGAAGCATAAAAGAACTCCAGCAGTTCACTTGGAGCTGTGAAATAGTATAAACTTTGGAGCATGTTTAGAGCATAGAAAAAAACACTTCATCTGCTCGGAATCCATGACGTTTCCCATGAAGGTTTGAGGGCGAAGCCAGCCTTAAATACTGTTGAGGTCAACTACATTGTATTATACACTGAGCCTTGAATCATACAGTGATTTACTAAAGGATTTAACAGATTTTATAGGGGTCGGTTGACCCCAACAAAACAGGCCTGGCTTGCCCCTGGTTTGACTGCTCAGCGAGCTAAGTTCAATGGTCGGAACATTAACCAGAGTGGCTTCGGAAACAAAGGAACACAGATGAAAGTGAGGATATGAACTAGAAAACAGAATCATCCATAAGGACAGTAGGAGTTCTTCTTTTTTAGGTAACTTTTTTCTCCTCTACAATACATGAATGTTCGGGTCTGTTTTGTAGAGCTTCTCTTAATTGTAGGTAGAAACTGTTTCTTTAAGAGAAGTGGTTTTTTAGCTGAAAGGGACTTTTAAAGATAAACTATATGCATAAAATGATTACGTATATGAAATAAATCAACAAGAAGCTACTTATTTTAGCTCCTACAACCAAAGTATGCAACCACTATATCTATATCCACTTTGTGCACCTGCAACTGGTGAGGAGGTTTATATCAAAGAAGCAAAGAAAAGCAAAAATAAAGGAATATGTGGTTTATCAAAGTAGTAAAAAAGCACACGAAGATAAAAATTCTCTCCACCTGTCGTACAAAAGCACTTCCACTGAAAAGGAACCGAAACCATCCCAGCCTAACTCAACATTTTTTTTAAGATAAGAAAGTTAAGACCATGTGTTCCACAGAATTTTTTACGAATATAAACTCTGCGTTTCTGACAGGGTTGAATTTCCCTACGTTGGTTTTCCAACTGAAGGCTCCTCACCCTGTGAAATTTCACTATTCAAATACGGTATGCACGAATCCTGGACTGTTAAAACGTGAACTCTAAAATCAATCAATTACAAATTTGCAAGGATAAATTGTCGCCGGATCGATAAAGACCCATGATCCTAACTTATATTTCTTCCATCTAAAATTAATTATCGTTATGGTATTCATGCCGGCAAAACTTTTTTTAAGTTTAACTAGGTTGGTAAAAAAGATTAACAAATATTTTTTATCTCCAAATAAGTTTATTATGAAAATAGTTTCAACGATCTATCTAATAATACTAATTATAAACTATTCTGGTATATATTTTGTCAAAGTTAAAAACGTTTGATTCTTCGAGAAGCGAGAACGATACTTATTTTGGGACGGAGGGAGTAGTAATCTAACACCATGCATATAACTTACATAAATATTAATAATGGTGACATATTGTAAAACTACGCATTCGTAGAGGAATGAAATTAGCAATATAATAGTTATAGAAAATAAAATATTTACAATGATGGTTAACTCGTCTTATAGTTTCAGTTTCACTCTACGAGTCCGGTCATCTATATTATGAAATCAAACTATGACATCATCGTTGTTGTCAGTCTACGAGTACTTGGGTTATATTATATATTTGAGACATGAAGCTGAGGTCTCACTCACATAAACGACAACAATGAGTCTCTTTTATAAATGACATGTTTGCTTCTGAATTCAGACTATCTCAAACAATTAAAATACAAAAAAAATGAAATCTAAGATCTCATAGGAGTCCCAAGCCATTAAGAGTGCGTTCGGCTGGCTGGCTGGGCTGAGCCCGGCTGGCCAGCTTACTCACGAAATATTATTCACGTCTAGATAGAAATGGTATTTTTTCTCTCACAACCATCGGTCGGAATAGTATTTTTCAGTCCTGCCGAACAGGCCCTAAACCATTAGAGGCACAGGCATGGAATGGAGCAAAGTCTGTGAACGGAAGCACAGAAGACCGGATAAATTAACCAAACAATTACAAATTTGCTGATTAATGTGCTTCTTCTGCCTTGGACTTCAAACTGAACCAGCGGTTGTCGGGTACCCTATTGTGCCAGTAAATGTAACCCTCATCACCGGGGAACTGACGGTGATCTAGACGGGAATTGAAGTGGTTCAGTTGGACATCTCTTTCCTGATCAAGCATGTTCGCGTGCTTGTAAACGATCGTAAATTTCTAGTCGGGAACAGTGTTTTTCTCTCACACCAAATCAGTCAACAGTAAATAATACACGATACGATACGGCCTCCCGAACAGAGCTTCCAACAACTTTAATACCAGCCGAAAGGCCCAGAATTTCCCTTAAAAAACGAAAGGAAAACAAGGGCCGCTTTCAGAACATTGGATACTTTCACAGAGTACTACACTAACACTACTACACTCCAGAAATACAGTGAACACTACTGGAATCAGGAATCAGTAGCTTTGTCGTGTGTCCAGGGCACAATGCGAAGCCCAAAAACTCTCGATATTACACTCGGCAAAAGCGGCACTTTCGACGAACAAAGACTCGACAAAGCTGTCTTTGCCGAGTGTTTTTGTCGAGCACTTTCGGCAAACACTTTGCCGAGTGCTAAAGCCGACACTCGGCAAAGAATTTTTTGAAAAATATATAAAAAAACCGTGCCACCAGGCCGCCAACACCATGCCGCCCGCCGCCACCACTATGCCGCCGCGGCCGCCATGATGCTCAGAAAGTTGTAGGTACAACAACAACATAGCGTACACATCCAAGTTGGAAGATGTGAAGTCTTCCTGTGGACGAGATGCTGGCTTACTTAGGAGGACTCCCACGCGGATGCTGGCTTCGCCGGTGGCCATCCCGCGCCATGGTCGGGCGGCCGCGCTCGCCTCGCCTCGCCGCCTCGCTGGTGCGCCACGTCCGCACCATAGGCCAAGGAGACGCAAGGCCTGCTGAGGAGCTGGCTGCTGCTCCCTTTTGGGCAGCCGAGTAGGGAGTGGAGCAGGGCACCGACGTGCCGCGCAGTTGAGTCACGGACCGAGGCGGAAAAGCCGAGGGAGCGGCCGTGCGCGCGGATCGGGTTGCACCATCACTAAGGGCCGCCGTGCGCACGGATCGGGTTGCCCCACCACCGAGTGCCGCCATGCGCTCGGATCGAGTGAGGCCGCGACACCGCCAGAGGCCGTCGTGTGCCGGGAGGGAGCAGCAGTGCCGCCGGATGCAGGTCCCCTGCCGCCGCCATCACCGGAGGGGAGGGAGGGAGGAAGGGGAGGCGCGGCCACCACGGGATCTGCCGACCTCGCCCCCCTTGGGTGAAGGTATGGGGAGGGGCAAAGGTACTCTCCAGGGCCACTACCAGGTGGGGATGACGGGGTCGACGCTGCTGGTGGGGATGACGAGGTCAACGCCGCCGGTGGGGATGACGAGGTCGACGCCGCCGGTGGGGAGGCCGAGGGAACGCCGGTGGGTTGAGGTGTGGAGGGTGGCGCCGGGGAGAACCGTGGGGAAGCCGCCACTAGCACCGTTTGTGTCGATGCATGGGAGGAGAGAGAATAAAGGAGAGAAAAAGCCGAGGAAGAGCGGCGAGAGGCCGAGACGCCTGGGGCCGGGGAGCATCGCCGAGAGTTATAGTATTGGAGCTTTGCCGAGTGTCCTAGATCTG